TTAAAATTTTATTAAAAAAATTTAAAATTTAAAAAAAGTTGCAAGCAAATTTGGCTGCAAAACAATTTAAGGGATAGTAAGTTTTAGATAAAGATTAAAAGGTATATTTATAACATTAAAATCACTTACTTGCCAAATTTGATTACCTTTTTTAACTAAGCAATTCAAAGATTACATAATGTCTAAGTTTGATTAGCAACAAACTTGCTATTTTCTAGTTATTATTAGCAAAATTTTTTAAGTAAATAAGAGATATTTTAAAAGGCAAAGAACTAGACATATGTAGTCTGAGAAGCAATTTTTCTTTCTGGTAAATAATTAGCTTTGAACCTGATAGCAAATAGTATACAAGAACTACTTTTAAATAACAGATGCCATCTCTGCAAAAAGTGATAAACTCTGAGCCAACTAGTAGATAGCATGTGAAAACTACCTCTAAATAATGGATGCTAATTTATAGTTTCATTTTTAACTCTTGTAATATATCTAGTTTACTGTTTTTGGTTTAGATTTTTTTAAAAATTTTGGTACAAGAATTATTAGAAAGAGTTTGATATATATCTTTTTTTTTTCTTGTATTTTTTTTTCTTAAATATGTTTTCTTTTAAGAACTAAAAATAAATAGTAGATTGTAGATTGTATAGCAAAACCAGGTCTTTCAAAATAGTATATATAGTTTTATCTATACTTTAAATTAACCCTATTTCTAATTTATTAGTATACAAATAATATAATAAGATAGTTATAATAACTGCTAGTTAAGTTTATTATAAAAAGTGTAAATATAAAAAAATTTGTAAATTTATATAAATATATAGATTTTAATAAATAAAATATTTGATAATAATAAATAAATTTTATATTAGATATTTAATTATTTCTAAGTTTTGAATTATATAAACATATTTTATTATTAACTATATATTGATTACTATTTAATTAGTTATATATTAATAACTATATAAATTAATAGTTATTGATAAAGAGATTTAATTTAATTACTATTTAATTAAAACTAATATTAATCCTCTTACAAATTTTGGTGATGTTTTTATATTTATTATATGAAAATGTGTTGAAAGTTGTTCATTATAAAAAATTCAAACAACTTTCAAAGAGTTTGAAAGATTATGCAAAAAAAAAAAAAGAAAATATAGATAAAAAATACATATACAAACTTACTATTAACATTAATTAATACTTATTGTTTTATCTAGCATTCTAAAGATAGATAGATATCTTGCTATAATTGAGATGCTAATATTATATGTATAGTCTTATAAAACCTTTATTATTTAAAAATTACAATAAAAAATTCAAAGTTTCAAATAACTAACATATCAGGCATTGATAAATCATACTTATTGCTCTATTTGATGATTTGACTCTTATGTAATACTAATGATATGATCAAATTTTGTGTTTCACCATAGTCAATAAAAGAGTTCAATCTGCAAAAAAAAAAAGTTTCTACAGCGCCACAAAATTTGATGCTTGATCTTATTAATAGAAGATATGTTCTTAAATGATCAGCACATTTAATTTCTGACTATGATACAACAAATAATTTTAAAAATTATGATCTTATAATAAAAACATGTCTAGAACGTATTGAAAAAGCCATCAAATTAATTGACAATTTTAGTAAGCTTGTACAATGCTTCACTAAACATACCAGTTATGTTAAATTTAGCAGCGGCTTATTCACAGATGCCAGATACTTTTTACAGAGATGGAAAGAGATGTAGGAGTGATGAGTGATGCTTGTATTAAATTATGTTTGTTATAGTCTTCACGGTAGTTTTTAAAGGGAATTCATTTCACGCATTTAGTTTTTTTTATGGGACTCCTACAGGTATATAAAACCTTCACATTTGCCTTGACTGAAGGTTAGAATTATAAATAAAGACTTTGTGCGATTCATATCTTACAACTCTATTGTCGATACTTCGCTACATGCGCACATCGCTTTTGGCCATGTAATTAATTAAAGAACTACGCAACATGAAACTTATTTTGTTTTATTAAATATACTGATTACTTATTTTTGTTCGCTAAAAAAAAAAAGAACATTTATTTATTTCTTTATATACACAATTGCTAAGACAAATTTTTAAATATCTAGTAATTTTTTCGAATTAAATTATAAGTCTGGCTGCGTGTTTTTTTTATTTTTTTTTGTACTTAACTAGTACAAACTTAGATTAAAACAATAAATATTAACAGTAAAGACTATATATCTAATCAAAAAATCAGTTTGTAACTCACACCAGTCATAACGATAACAGGTAAGCATCCTGAATAAATTATATGCGGGTAAAAGACTTGTATTTTTTTATTCAGGGTGGTTCAAGAAAATAGGTCAGGTGGATTAAGAACAATGTTTTTGCATTATTGTTGATTATAAAAAAAGACACTCGTAAAAAATATCCTAAAATATTTTTAGTCTATTTTTAAATTACTATCACCTTACTGTAGCTATTGTAACTAATTCGGAAGGGGGATTCTAAGCCTTTTCTTCAAGTTGTTTTCTTAGTTCTTCTTTTTCTAGTTCATGTTTTTGTTTCAATTCTTCTTTTTCTTTTTCATGTTGGTTTCTTAAATCATCATGTTTTTGTTTCAATTCCTCCTTTTCTTTTTCATGTTGGTTTCTTAAATCATCATGTTTTTGTTTCAATTCTTCTTTTTCTTTTTCATGTTGGTTTCTTAAATTATCATGTTTTTGTTTCAATTCTTCTTTTTCTTTTTCATATTGGTTTCTCGCCTCTTCAAGTTTTTGTTTTAATTCATCCTTTTCTTTTTCATGATGATCTCTTAAATCATCATGTTTTTGGTTCAATTCCTCTTTTTCTTTTTCAAGTTGGTTTCTCGCCTCTTCAAGTTTTAGTCTCAATTCATTTTTTTCTTTTTCATGATGGTCTCTTAAACCATCATGTTTTTGGTTCAATTCTTCTTTATCTTGTTCATGTTGTTTTCTCAAACTTTCAATTTCTTCTTTTAATCGTTCATTTTCTGCTTTTGTTTCTTTATATTTGTCTTCTAATTCCACGGTTTTTTGTAGTAGTCTAGAAAATGTTGAAACAGCTTTATCACTAACAAGAGGGTTCATTTTGACGATAAAAAATCAAAAATTTATGTTTGTTTTTAATATGCAAGCTAAAGATAACGTCAAAATGAACGATAACAATGTCCTTTTATATTTAATATTCGAAGAACCGATAAAATGAGTGATGAAGACGTTTTTATTGAGAAATGGGTGTCACACAACTTTTTCTTAAATATTAGTTTATTTAAATACAAAAGTTATTATTAAAATTTTTTTTTATATTATTTTGATCTCAATCAATGATAACAAAATTATAGAATAACTTTACCTGATTAAATATTGTTAATTATGCAGGCGTACATTATTTCATCGGCAACAATGTTAATGTGTAACATTCCAAAGTGCTACAGCACCAATATCAACAGTGTTTGCCTAAGAGCAACGATCAAAAATTTAGGTAGAATTATTCAAAAAATTTACCTATAAAATCACAGCTGCCCATTAAGTGAAAAATTTTCCTGGACTAATTTTTATAATAGTGCAAAGCTATTTCTCAAAAAGTTCTATTTTCGGAATGAAAAATTAAAAATTTAATTTCCGACAAAAATTATGTAAAAAATTATGTAAAGCAGGCTATGTTATCTATTCAAAATCGAGAATTTGCCGGATTTAAAGGTGTTACGTACAAATGTGAAATTCATTATGTGACAAATACTTTGGGGGAAACTGTGGGCGTTAGATTTGACTTTTATTATCAGAATAGATGGTGGCAAAATTCAAAAAAAAAAAAAAAGAATTGCAACAATATCACTTGATTATTAATTATTGTTTTAATTTCCTTTTTGAATTTCGCTACCCATTTATGCGAGAATGCAAGTAAATTTGATACAGGAGTTACAGTGCAGGAAATTTTTAAATCTCAATTCATCTATAAAAAAAAATAACGCATAAACTGTAGCATATTGAAAATCTATTTCTTAAATTATCAGTTTAATAAAGAATCATATGCGTACAATGGCCAAATGATGCAATATTTCACGCAATTACGGGTCAAATTTTATTTTATTTTATTTTAAAATTTTAATAGTTGTTATTACAGTTATTGTCAATGCAAATATAATTGTGTATTTATTGTTGATGAGTGATATTTACAAGTAGACAAGCCACCGAAAAATACAAATTTTAGGGTAGAATTTTATAATAAACATGGCAATTCGATTGTGATTTAGAAATTGTTTTACCGTTACATCATCTTTGGTGAAGCACATTACACAATATTACAGATTATCTACATAGGATATTAAGGACCCGAATGGACTTTTATTATGCAATGGTAGGGTGAACTGAAATTGATGGGATCGACGTAATAGCAGCAATTCGGTCGTGTAACTTAAAAGTCGAGTTTGCTAATTTTCCCCAACACTTCTGATTTGTCCTACTAATTATTCAGTATCTGTGCAATCGTAGTGTAACTAATCAGTGATGCAATTATGCATAAGCGAAAGTAAATTAATAAAGGTTATTAATAAAGGTTCGATTTGTAATATCGAACTCACTTTGGATTTTCTAGTAAAACAATCAATCCCTAATAAATTGAATCGTGCTACTTGTTGTGCATCGGTAGAGAAGAACGTTTGAGTAGAAGTCTGGTGAAATTGCAAGGGGAGTTGAAATGCGAAGCGAGTGAATAAAATATAATACAAATCGTTGAGCAGAATTGTGGTCTATCATCTGTATATTAATTATTCGAGTAATATATAATAGTAGCGGAGTATAACTTTAAATTTTTATGCGTATGTTCAATCAAACTTATTAAACTTATATGATTATACTTGCACGCACATACGTACGTTATGCGTGTTATTAAACAGATAGATTAAACGCGCAACCAAAATCCAGCAGATTGGAATGCACCGGAGCTAGGCAAGCATTAAGTATTAAAGTAAAATAACCCTGGTTTTAGGCAAATTTTTTCGTATGAGTAATTTGTTATTAGCATTACTGATGTATTATTATTTTATTACTTCATGTTAAATTATTACCTCATAAAATGCTATAGAAATTTTTCATTTTATCGATTATTAATTATTACTTCGCCCCGGCGTAGTTATTCATCTTTATGCATTTCATTTGCGTCATTATTTCTCTCATTACAGTAAATAGTTATTTTCCCATTATTTCTCTTATCATAATGTGAATAACAGCGTAAGTACAATGTATATAAAAGGATCGCTTTTCTGAAAAAATGCTGAAAATTCTTTTACATAAAAAATATAATTCTATTATATAAAATTATCTTCGTTATTAAATACCTGATATCCTAATGTTTGTAGCTTAAAGTTAATTCTAACAACAAAATTCATAATCTTTTTCCTGAGCCATAACACTGGGTAATTTTGCTTAGTAGTAGGCTATGAGTGATTTTAGGCAAAATTTATCTTTTCAGACCATTTTGACTAGAAATTTGGTTGCACGACTAATCTATTCCTACTAACAGCTGTTTCATAAATTGAGACATCTGGCTCAAAATTGGCTGAATGATTATTTGGCAGACTCAATAGGTTTTTGATTCTGTAGCGGTAAATTTTTGATTTTAAGCGTGATTAGTATAAATTTTTGATTTGGGACGTGATTAGTATATATTTTTAATACATAGCGATGGTATACTACAATGTCATCGCATTTAAAACTAGGTTTTCGCTTGAAATATCAAATATGTTTAATGGGTTAGGTTTTTTTACTAAAATTTATGACGAAGATTGTCTAAAAGGTCTTAACAAAAAAAATATAAGAAAGTTCCGATTTTAAATAAACCTTCATAATATATTCATGATAAATACATTACACGAATGAACGCTAAAAAAAAAAAAAAAACGGTTATATTAACAAGAATTTATATTGATTGGATTAAAAAAAATATAACACCAAGATTTTATGAATACTTGTGAAACTATATTGAGAATAGTAATGTTATAACTCATTATAACGTTTCGATTTTAAATTACGGCATGTTGTAAATGTTATACACTGTATTGTTCCAGCATGTCAATTTAGCTATATCATGTTGGAGCTTTATTATGTGCGTAACTTAACTTTTCATATGCTGTAGCTATAATTTTACAATAGAGGCATTTACTATTAATTGGATTATGCACTTATATTATTATAAATACTATCGTTTGAATCGATGTATCCATTGATAGTTGTTGAGAAATATTATAGATTCGAATAAAGAGTATACTCTTGATACTATTAGTATGGATTAATTTATTTCAATTGGTAATATTTTTAAGCGTATTCTTTATAATAAGGGTTTTGCTAACAAAAAATTTTAATTTTTTAGTTATTTTATCATTTTTTGGCATTGTTTTTATGTATAGTTTAGCTTAATTGAAATCGTGCTTTAATTAATAATACTATTATAGTTACAAAATTAATTATTATCACGACAAAATGTTAATAGGCCGTATGCCAAAAATTCATTGCGACGATTCTACCGCATCACTAATTGAGAATTAAAATCATAATATGTTGTATTTAATGATTATTATAATTTATGGGGCAAAAAGAGATCAGCGTAAATCTGATGAAAATATTGAACCAGTTGATCTAACAAGCAAGGAACCTTTAGAGTGTTTATCTATTAAAAAACGCCTAGCTTGTCTGAAGTAACTGCAATTGAATCTGAAATATCTGGCGACAGCAAATGAATCTAAAACTTATTCAAAGCAACAACAGCCCAATCAAAAATTATCGTAACAAAAGAGTTTTTCATTTATTAGTTTAATATCATCCAAATTTAATAAACATGGTTTTTTCGTGATTCATTACACAAAAGACCTCTATCATCTATGTCTGGCAATTATCGAACTTTTAAGCCTTCCAAATATTTTTATTCGATTATTAATAAATATGCTTTGCAAATGTCGTTTAGCAAAGATAAAGATAGTTGATATCGATATATTTTATATTATCGAATCGAAGCATCATTTTAGCAAAGATGATGCACATCATTACGTAATTGATCATTATCGAACACAAATTTATTGAATTAACTAATATAAAAAAAAAAACCTAAAGAGGTCGAGCAAAGTAAGGCCGATAATCATATAAAAATTATAAAGCCTAATACCTTCAAGATTTTTATACACTTTCATGTTTCTATTTAAAACTAGTTTTAAGTGCCGAGTGTTCTACTTTTTTAAAAGAGAAGCCCTTTAAACATTCTTTAATTTTGATTAACAAAATTGAATAGAGCATTGTCAGATTATTAATAAGGGCAATGTCAAATAATTATTACACCGCCACTATATTTTAATCATTAGACGGTTGAAACTGGGTGCCGCATGTGTAAAATGTATAGTTAAACTTAAAAATAGCACTTTTTAACAATTTTTATGAACCTATTCCCATGATTTTCTTTTCATTGATTTTCTTAAAACGTTCATTATTCTCATTCGGATTTCATATAAACTTATGCTGCTTATTATACATTATGAAGATACATGATCAAAAAAATTTAATGCTCACGTGGGATAACTCACATGACGAAGCATAAAGAGGATCGGGCCCACGGGCTTTACTTATTCTTATTTGTGCCGGTAATACAACTCTTAAAAGGGAAACAGCCAATGAAGATCCTATTAATAAATTCGAAAGTTTTTTAAAATTCTAGCGATGATTTCTCTACAACCAGCTATTCAAACTCGGTTAAAATTTTTTTATTTCAATTCTATGAATCCACAGAATTAAAATAAAAAATTTCATCAAATTTGGATAGTTGGATGTCGAGAAAATATAGCCGAAATTTTAAAAAACTTAAAAAAATCTTGGAAAAAAATGAAATCGGGTAAATTTTTCTTTCTTTGAACTTTAACCGATATTTTATCGACAACCAACAGTCCAAATTTAATAAATATTTTTTTATTTTAATTCTACGGATTCATAGAATTATAATAAAAGAAATTTCGATCAAGTTTGAATAGTCGGTTGTTGAGAAATATTCATTATAAGTTAAAAAAAATTTTGGACGCAGCTCCTTTTTTAAAGACATTTAAACTTTG